TTAGCTACCATGGGATTTTTTCAAAATTTTTCTTAGAAACCTTTTTTTTTTTTTTTACATGGTATCGGGTCGTGGGGTGGTACCAGCCTTAAGGTCATTTCACCCCCACGACCCATCGTTTATTTGAAATCAAATACACACCGGCCCGAGGGCCAAAATAAGTGGTAAAGTGGGACAGTTCCCTACCTACCCCTCTTACATTGCTCTTTACATTTACATAATACATTACATAATACATTGTTAGTGAGGGAAGTTTACAGTTCTGTGTCTTCAAGGGCCGATCTTATTCCGCCGCCCTGGTTTTCTCGTTCTGAGACTTTCAAGGGCCGATCTTATTCAGCCGCCCTGGTAATCACGTACTCTCCTTATTGTGTCTTCAAGGGCCGATCTTATTCCGCCGCCCTGGTTTTCTCGTTCTGAGACTTCAAGGGCCGATCTTATTCAGCCGCCCTGGTAATCACGTACTCTCCTTATTGAGCTGCCTGTCTTCTCCTCTCCTCAGCTTCCTTTTTTCGCATGATTTCTCCTATCATGCCGGATAGAGTGTCCCAATTCGCCTTTGAGGCAAGCATCGTCGGGATGAGGTTGCCGGTGTTTAAGTCGATCCCCATGGTCATCTCCACTTGCCTCCTCCTCGTGTGCCAAGCGTCACAGTGGAATATTGTGTGTTCAGCGTCGTCTACCACGTCTCCGCAGTACCAGCACTCCGACGATTCCAGCTTTCCGAACCTCTTCAGATACGCGGCTAAGCATCCGTGACCACTCAGGGCTTGGGTCAGGTGGAAATTCATTTCTCCGTGTCGGCGGCCTGTCCAGGTACCGATGTTTGGGATGAGGCGGTACGTCCATCTGCCGCTTTCGCTATTTTCCCATTCTGTCTGCCAATTTTCCATGATGTTTGTGGGTGGTATTACCAGTTCCGGGTTCCTCTTCTTTTCATGTAGGTATTTTCTCTCTTTGGCGAGCAGATTTAGTGGGGCGATCCCAGTGATAACCGCTATTGCTTCCCTCGAGGTCGTGCAGTATGCGGAAGCCACTCTCAGGCAGATTCGCCTCTGCACCTTGAGGAGCTCCGTCCAGCCCGCCACGCTCATCTCTTCGGCCCATACTGGCGATCCGTATAGCAGGATGGAGTGGGCGACGTTGCTCAGCAGCTTCCTTTTGGTTGGCTTCCCTGCTAGGTAAATCAAAGTTCTAAAAATGATGGTGCCAAAAAGAAATTAACGCAAACACTTAGTTTTTGAGTTATAGCCGTTTGAAATTCAATAATTATCGATTTTTGAATTTTGAATTTTTTTTGGAGGGGTACTTATGTATAGTGACGTTTTAAAAATGATGGTGACATAAGAAATTTGTGTCAACACTTGGTTTTTGAGTTATAACGGTTTTCCGCTGAACACGCATGCGCGAACACGAATTTATATTTTTTTGTTTTCGGAAATTATGTAAATTTACAAGTAGTTGCGCCCATATTCCCAAATAGCGTTTGAGATTTTGGGGGCTAAAGTCTTTCTTTGATAATATTGAATAAGCTTAAACCAAAATGTAGGAAATGTTTGGAAGGGCTATGGACGTTTTTGGGGGCTCAGCCCCTAAAGCCCCCCTTATTTACGCCTATGGTTGAGCTCTACCGGCTCCGGTTATATTTTTCAGATATACGCTCGATATTACCACGCGTAATGCTAATGATTAGTTTTTTAATTATGAAACTTAAAATGCATAATATAAACTGTTTTTATTATTTGTTTTACATATTTAACAATTAGGTAGTTTTATTCATCGTCTGTGTCAATGCTACTCTCATCAGACTCATAATTAGGGTGGTCATTCAGCAAGAGTGGGTCGTAAAGTTGACCAGCGTACTTAAAAAATTCTGTCAATACGTCTAACTTTTGGTAACGAAAACGCTTAACAAACATAAATTTTGCCATGTAAACAATGTAAATTTTTTTTTGCGACAGCACTGTGACAGTGATGCTTTTGCATGGCGCCACATGCGTTCAACATATTTGTTATGTGCGCCGGTATCTGGATTGACAAATTGAATAGAGTGATTCACTGACCACTGTCAGGTGTAAGAAACCTTCCTCGTCTAAACAATCATACGCCTATGATGTTAGCAAAAAAGAAATGGAAAATGTATTTGTATTTAGTTTCTAATTTTCATTTGTTTGTATAGGTTTAATTTAATTAAATTTAACAAATAATGCAGATCGCATACTGCCGATTATGGTGATTTTAAGCCCAACCGAAACATAAGATAGGTTGATAGATAATTTGTCAGATAATCAGTTTATGACCTACAATTTTTATCTTAATGTCTTTTAAAGTTCTTTTACTGACATAATATGTTATCCGCCTAGTAATCACGTAACTGGGAACATTATTAAAAAAAAATAAATCAAAATATCGTAAATATAAAATAAATAGTTCTGTAATTGGCAAAAACAAATTGCTATACCCGAGGCGGCGAGGCTAACTCTGTAGGACCTCGAGCTTAGCGAGCTGAGCAGGGATTCTGGCGTAGGGAGTGACTATAACTTGTCATAGGTACTCGGTGACTCGGTTCAACAAAAATGCAATTTTTTAACCCTGTGGCCCGCTTGGGGAGGTGTTGCATAGCAAATCTGGGGATATTTTGGTTTTTAATTGTCCGAGTGACCCCGCTCAAAAAAGCTATTTTTTTCAAATAAAATAACGGAATATCTATAACGGAAAACCGTTATAACTCAAAAACCAAGTGTTTACACAAGTTTTTATTGGCACCAAAATTTTTAAAACATCACTATACATAAGTACCCTACCAAAAAAAATTCAAAAATCGGTAATCATCGAATTTCAAATGGTTATAACTCAAAAACTAAGTGTTTGAGTACCTATTTTTTTTTTTTGGCACCATCATTTACCTAGGTTTCGAAAACAAAATTTGAAAAAATCTCATGGTAGCTAAACTGCAATTGTTCCATATAAAAACTTACTTTACGCCTCTTTAGCGATTGTTTCGTAGACATGATGATATTATTATATTTAATATTTATGTATACTATATACTATTTATCACTGGCCTCTGAAGACTGAACACAACAAATAAAATAACAAACTATAATGTAAAAATGCTCTATGCGACTATGCTAAAATGCACGCGAAAAATGTTATTAATTGTTATCGATTATTCAATTATATTGATTATATAATATTATTCTGCGACGATTGACGATTATAATAGTAGGTATAATACAAACACTGGTACGAGGCACGAGCTCAAGTATTATAGATTCGAATAGTAGTGTCGACGGCGGAGTACGGACCTACAGCGGCCGGTCGGGCAGCACCGGTGAACCCATTATATATATATTATATTATACAATAGTTATTATAGTCACCAATGAAATGATAATAACGTCATAGAAAACCCAAATAATATTATAATATATAATGTCTAATAATAATTAATAATAATGTAGAAATAGCTATAGTGTTGTTCGTAGAACCCCCCACCCCTCACCCTCCTCGGGTGACAGACGATATAATAATATAATATAATATTAAATTATATAATGAGGATTTTTATACAAGCTAAACATCCCGGTAACAACCTATTTACATTGAAATGTGATGTTCCGTAAAAGGTAAGTTTGAAACGTTGTTGGTATGTTATACATTTTATAGTTAGTGACAATTAAATGAAAACATCCATAAAATGTCCTATTAGTATTTTGAACAATGTTATTTCAAATCTTGAATAGAGAACAACAATTACTCTGCGAGATTGTATTTCTGAGGTATCGAAAACTTGGAGAAGTGATGTAATGTCCGAAACCATAAAAAAATGTTTCTTCAAAGCTGGATTTACAAATTAAATTATTGAAACCGATATTGAAATACCAGATGTACAACGATAATGTAAGTTAGTTCACTGCGATGGCGTTACTTTACAAGATTATTTGAAAATTGATGAAGATATCGCCGTATATGAATCACCTACCTACTTAAGAAACTATTGTAGAAGAGGTTAGAAAAAAAGAAAATCCTGATAATTTGAAGAGAAGACGACCATGCAGTAGAACGATCCAAACTCATAGAATAAGACATATTAAACGCTTTATCAGTGGTAAGAAATGGTTTTAGACAAGAAGCAAATGTTCCCGATGAAATTTTTTTAAAACTTGACGATATAGAAACTTTTTACGAAATAAGGACAATTTTCAAAAATAAAAATCAAACAAAACTTGCAGATTATTTCTTTTAAATTATATTTAAGGTTAAAAATTAAATTTAAAAAAAAAATTGAAAAAAATTCGTAATTATATTTAATTTTAAAAATTAAATTAAACTGTAATATGATGTTTGATGTTGTTTTTTACATACATACATACTTAAAGTTGTAAAAAAAAAGTTGAAAAAAAACTTAATTCTATTTAACGAATTCCTCTATATAACGATTTTTTTTTGGTGCTTATTCGACTTCGGTGTATGGAAGTTTCACTGTATTACTGTGTGATACCTATAAGTTATAATATAGGTAATACTACACTAATACCTAAGTGATTATACTATATAAGGTTATCGTTTGTATACGTAATAAGTGGAAATCAATAAAAATAGATTGTGGACAACGTCCATACATTTGGTTTAATTCAAGAGTAGACGAGAATAAACTGTATTATTATAAATAATATAATTCCACCTATACACTCTTATCTAAATCGACGGAACACTCCGAACACTCGTGCATGCAGTGCGTAGGTAATAAAAAAGCGCTTGAACTATAAAGTGCACGTATATTAATATTATTTCGTCCCGTGAATACCTAGTCAGTTCGACACTTCGACAGGCGTAAGCGGTCGTATCTATTATTACTCGCTTTACATTAGTTGTACGTACCAGCCGTATAATATATACATCCAAATATTTATATATATTATATTATTATAATATTATCAACCAGTTGCGGCGGCGATCACAAGGATATAGAGGCGTGCAATATAATTTCAACGAAAATGGACAAATGGGTAGGAAAAGTCGCCGTGGTCACGGGGGCGTCGTCCGGGATTGGAGCGGCCACCTGTAGGCGACTGGTTGACAGAGGAATGATTGTCGTCGGATTTGCCAGGAGGGAAGACAGACTCGAGGTGGGTGCCTTTCAGTGTCTTTCGTTTCCCTTCGTTGTGTATAGGTATTAGCCATTATTATTGTTTTTCTCACAAAAAACGCATTTCTTTAAATGTTATTAATATATATTTTGTAATTTACCATAACATATTATTATAGGCACATAGGTACGTTTTAAAAGTTGTAAAATATATATTTCGTGTACAAATATTATAACTAAGGCTCGAAACTATTACCTAAAACTCTTAAAAATATCAATAAAAATAAATAAAAATAAAATGTACTAAATAACCATGGAAAAAAATCAGAATAATCATATATTATTACAAATATCTAATTGTAATAGGTACATACTAGGCTAAAAAGCTAAGTTTACATGTGAGACGTGAGCCTCGTGATTGGTCACGAATCAGTAGTGAATTACGATTCTATGTATCACGATCATTTTTTACGCCCCGTGTAAACCTACCTTAAGAAAACATATCACCTACAAGCTACACAGAAGTATTGTGAGCAAACATAAAAATAATACTATTAATGTAATTCTTTGGAGTGACTGAAGGATTTCACATTTAGGTTTCACCAACACAGTTAATCACGGTTAAGGTTAACCGGAGTTTAATCGGCCGAATTAAAAAAAATATCTGTTATCAGCATATTAAGCGTAATCTAAGTAATGTAGATCATGGATTACAATAGTACTTAAATCTTTGATTCAAAACATAAACATTTCTTTCAAATAATCATCGTCACAGTTATTATAAAAAACAATGATTATTCATTAAGTTCCGAGCCCTAATTAAAATTATTTTTCAGGGTTCAATCTTAAATATACATAGGTATACATACTGGATTAATAATTTATTTTTTTTAAGTCAATATAAACTAACACAATTTATCCCTATTCCCTACGACCCCTACCTACATTATAGGATAATAATAACAAACAAAATAATAAAATCACAATAAGACATTCTAACTTTTTTGTTTATTTTTCTTCCGTGTATTTTGTTTGAATATGTTTTGTTTTTTTAAATATATTTTTGCTGATTGTATGTTTTGTAGTAAATATCGAATTGCCCTCATAATATATATGGCACTCTGAGTAAGAAACCCTACTTTCTCACCTCAAGCACTAGATCCGGAACTGCTTGGACATTTAGTTAAATCGAATCACATTCGTCAATAATTTGTTATTATTACTGCGGATTGTAAACGCTTTTAATCGACACGAATCATGATTGGTTTTTGAATCCTACAGGAGTTACGAAAAGAGTTGATGGGAAAACTAGGTGAATTTCATTACTACAAAGTTGATTTGTGTTTGGAAAAAAATATCCAAGAAGCATTCGCTTGGGTAAAGGGCACATTTAAGTCGGTCGACGTATTAGTAAACAATGCTGGAGTTTGGAGAAATAGTGACGCTTTAGGTAAGTAGCCAGTAGGTAAAAGTAATATAAATTACTTTAAGGAATATTAATATAATAAAATATATTTAGTAATATAGGATGACAATTGACAGATCATCTACGTTCAGATTCCTTTTTCGTATACTTACAATGATATCATTTAGGTAATTTAAATTTAACATATCCAATATCCATTGCAGTGACCCGCACGATACCTAATGTGAAACAGAGCGCTACCTCAACTTGCCAACCTTTTTTAAATAATTGTATGTCTGTATTTACTTTTTATAGCAGTAGTATGATGGTAAAAATAAACTTCGATCTAAAACTATGAGGGTGGTTTCTAGTGGGTAGCAAATTGGAACTCTTGGGAAGTCAAATTAAAACGATTTACCAGTACTTATCTAATAATATTCAGGAACCAAAACGAGATTTTTTTACGCTTAACCAGTTTTCCATAAAATCTATTTTGTTAATTTTATGTAATTCCAAAATGAATAACCTACTACTAACTTTTATTATTCGCAAAATACTGATATTTAGAATTTTCTAGATATGATATAATTCATAAGTTGTTCTTACCCCAATTAAGAAATATAAAAATAAAGTCACAACATTTTTATGAGCATTTAAACTTTAAAGCTTAAATGTTTAATAGATTCTTCAAAATCACGAACGCTTGCAAATTATTTTATATTAGAAAAATCATAACATTTTAATTTTTATACTTAAGTTTGAAATTTGATAATAAATTATAATTATTATTATAATTATAATAATATGTCTGCCATTAGGTATACCGAAAGTTATTTCTATTTTGAATTCAAACATTTTTATGCAATTTATGTATTTATAATATGTAGGTACCTATATAGGCTATATTATTTTAAAAACTAATGCTTGTATACATTTTACAGTCAATCTGTTTTGTTTATATCTTTATACATTTACAAATCAATAACTAAATAAAATAACATAAATTGTAAGATTATATTTGCTCAAATACTAATAGATCGCTGGTGCCAATGGCGACTGTCTACATAAGTAATTTATTAGTTGTTACTTGTTACTACAATTTATTCACGATATTACGTTTTATACTTATCAGGAAACCCACAAGACTGGAAACTGATGTTTGAAACCAACGTGTTAGGACCGAGCATTTGCAGTAAAGAAGCGGTGAATATCATGAAGGAGCTGAAAATCAACGGTCATATAATAAATATAAATAGGTAAAAAACGTCTACCTTTTTAATTAATTTTACAACGTGTATGTGTTTTTATTTTGTGTTTCTCATCACCTTTTAAAACAGTAATAATGATCCAATTTTCTACAACAGTATTTTTCTGGCAGGAAAGTGAATCTAGTTGGTACTATCTAGTCTAGTTGGGGTTAAGAGTAAACAATTCCCAGTAGTTATCAAAAGCAACAGGATAAATAAAAAATTAGGAATTGCAAGACCGGTTTTTGACTAAATCGATTTTGTTTATTTGTAGTAACTAATAAAATCAATAATCTTATTGGATACTTGGAAACAATTTTTTAACAAATGTTTACACTAGGTACCATTTTCTAGACACGATAACATTTTCAAAATATTTTGACTGTTGTTGAGCTGTTTATGTAGGCATGAATAATTTTCGACTTTTTAAGTTCAAATTTTTTCAGTTGGATTATTTGATGTGTACCAGTAAGAATATGAAATATATAATATATAATAAAAATATATATTATTATAACCTGCAATCGTTTCGATATTTATAATTATATTATTATATACACGATTAGTAATTACCTGTTACCTACATAATTATTATACTTATATCTAATTAACTTACAGAAGGTATATATTATATTAAAATGACGCTCCATATCAATTATCACTATTCCGCAATATTAATTACCTATTAAATATCTAAATGGTATATAATAATAATAATAATTTCATGATTAACATGATTTATATTTTTTTGTTTTTGCGTCGTGTCGTCGTGAGCATAATTTTGTTACAAATTGTTCGGCGTTGTACACTCCATAAATAAGTTTCATTTCAATATTAATTATACGTGGGCATGATTTGATTTTATGAGCATCTTAAGACAAGATTCATTAAAATCACGAACATTAATAAATTGTGTTGTAGTTAAAAATATATAAAATGTCCAATTTATACTTAATTTAAATCAAGGTTCCTCCAATGTATTTAATATTGTAACCAATAAATCTAAATATTATACAAACATAGTTTTTTTAATTGATAGTTCAAATTTTGACGAAATTGCATATTAATTGAAGAATAGCGATTTTACTTATTTTGTTGTATCTAGTTTAAAAATATTATTCTTGGACATTTAAAACTTTTGAAGTACAGTAGAACCTCGATTATCCGTTAGGCCGCTTGTGTATGAGTACTGAGTAGGTTATAAATAATAATATACATATACATATATGTAATCCGAAACTTAATAATAACACTTTTTAATAAATTAAAAAATAATAATAATGTACCAATAAGTAATAGTACCTAATTATATTAATATGTATGTCATAATTACTAAAAAAAATAATAAATAATATGTATATATGTTTAAATTTTTGTTGTTCGCTTAACCGTCTTTTCGATTATCCGTCAAAGCTCTGGTCCCGAGACTGACGGTCAATCGAGGTTCTACTCTATATCAATATGATAATAGCAATAGTATTATAAACTAACCTTATAGACTATAGTAATATATAGTTATAGTTATAGTTATATAGGCTATTTATATTTAAATGCATTATGAAAATTAAAATTATAAAAATTAAAAAATTAACTTAGGAACTTTCAATAGTGTATGAATAATTAGATGATTATTATGGTAAAAATTAAGTTTTCCAAGTCAAATTAAAATGTGTGAAAAATTAAAAAGTTAAATCGAATCACGTTTATATTTTCTTATTTAGAAACAGAATATTTGTGTTCCTCTATGTACAAAAATATTTTAGATTCTGAGTGAAACGATGAATGTATTGATTTACAATGATGTGTGTTTTTTATTTATTTTTTTTGTGTCTGTGTACACGATAAGTAGTCGAAATAATGCTTTTATTTTCGACTTCAGTATCTTGTTCGATTGGAAAGTGAATATCGTTGGTGCATTGGGGAGGTCAAATTTTAAAATTCCCAGTACTTTTAAAAACTCCAAGAAAAACAAAAGAGAAATTAAGGAAAAACGAGAGTTTATATTTGCATTTTCTATACACGATAACATTTTCAAAATATTTTGATTTATTTTGAACTGTTTAGGGACATTTTCATTTTCCATTTTTTTTTAGTTTTTTTTCTAGAAATATCAATAAAATTTTATTTGTTGGTTGCAAAAGCTTGAAAATTTAATAGAAGGCTCCTAATATATTGTTTCAAAGGCAGATGAAAAATATTAAAAATCCTTAGTCACAGTTTTTTTTTATAAGCATTTAAAGTTCAAAAATTGACAAAATATGGAAAAATCACGAAAATTAGCAAATTATTTTGAGTTAAGAATTCGTAAAAATTTTCATTTTTAAATCTAAGATTTGAAAATCTAATACAAGATTACTCATAAGATTGTCTACCTTTATCAATAAAAAAATCTCTACCGGAAAGTCAAATTAAATTTTTGTGAGCGTTTGAAATTCAAATTTTTACAACATTGGATATTCACTTGATTTCTCATGTAGCGATTTTCTTATTTTGTTATAATTCAAAAACGAATAACTATAGATACATGAAAATTTCACTGAATTTTCAGATTAGCATTTCCTATACACTGTACAATTTTGAAAATATTTCGACTCTTTTTGAGCTGTTTACGGACATTTTCAGTTTTCAATTTTTTTAGTTTTTTTTTCTATAAATATCAATAAAGTTTTATCTGTTGAGCCAAAAAGTGTAAAAATTTAATACAAGACTCCTGATATATTGTTACAGTAGCAATTGAAAAATATTAAAAATACATAGGCACAATTTTTTTTATAAGCATTTAAACATCGAATTTTGAAAAAAATTATCAAAATCTCGAAAATTATCAATCATTGTAATTAATAAATTATAAAATGTTCAGTTTTTATAGCTAAAGATTGCAAATTTAAATATAGGTTCTCATAAATAGTTCATACTGTAACCAAAAAATCTAAAAAATTTATGAACACAGTTATTTTTTACAGACATTTTAAATTCAAATTTGGACGAAATTACATATTAAAATCAATATTAACGATCTTTGTTTTTGTTGTAATTTAAAAATATTATTCGGGGAGTTATGAAACTGAAAAATCAAAATATTATGGCCTATCCATACAATCTACCATAGTATAAGGAATAAGAATTATGCTCATGATAAGACTGTGCATATTTTAAGGAATTTATTCATAAATTCCATATAATTTAATACCATAGAAAAGTATATAATATGTCTTATACCTAGACTGACATACCGTCTCCGCTCAGAATCGTTTTTCTTATACAATGATATTAAATCATTGCATTCAAATTTAATAGCATCCATTATTCAGTGACCCACTTGTAACCTACTGTACAGCAGAGCGACATCCAATTACCCACCTTTTTTTTGTTGAATAGGTTATTAATTAATATTTAAAAGTTTAGATGAATGTAGTAGTATAGCACAAGTGTATCCAGGAAATTAGTAAAATGTTGGTACATTACTCCTGTCCATTTCTGTCTCCTAAACTTAAAATATTTATGAGGTTATAATTAATTATTTTCTTACCTCAAAATTATTTTTGTATATATTTAATTGATCTTTCTTTAAACATATTCTTCTGTATATATATACAGAAGAATATGTTTAAATGTCGACATTTAAAAAAGTAAAAACTCGCAAAATGTTTATTGTAAAAAATAATAGAAAAATAATATTTTTAAATTATTTCAAATAATTATGCTTATAAAAATGAAAAATGTTTGCTTACGAGAATAGAGTGTTGATTAATTAATTTCCACAAGTTTAGATGGAAGATTTTCAAAATTTTTTTATTTATTTAATTCATGTAATCGATGATGTATTTGTTTTTTATATAGGAACTAAAAAAAAAATGCCTAGGTAGATATTCAAATTCATATTGTAATTATTCATGTATTACTAAAAATTATCTTCCAGTTCCTTCTCCAGGTTTGTTATAGTTTGATAAAAATAAAAATAACGATTATTTATAAATTATATCTACATTATTTTTGTAAGCAATAATGTATTGAATTCAAATATAAGACATCCATTAAAGTGATCCACTCGATGCCTATTGTTCAGCAAAGCGGTACCCACTTGCTTATTTTATTTTAATACCAATATATGCATAATATATTTAAATATTTCTATTTACATATTAATATATATTTTGTTTCAGTGATATTGGCCATTATCCACCAACGTTAATGGCAAACATGTCTGTCTATAGTGCGACCAAGTTTAGTAGCGTTTCAATAACTGAAAGTTTACGAGAACTGTTAGCCTTACATAAGTTACCAATCAGAGTCACTGTAATTAGTTTATTTTTGAATATACAGAGTCTAACAGGAAGACCTGCCAGATGTAATAACATCTGTTCTAAGCAATATTACATTTTTTTTTTTTTTTTTATCTTATTTATAGTCACATGCGCTACACGTATAATATAAAAAAAATATCAAAATTTTTTAATACCTCAAACAATACATTTTAAATTCAATAAACATTTTTTTGGAAAAATAAAAAATAAAAAATTTGTAAAACATTTATCTAAGTCAAGTAGTTTATTTTTTAGAATTTTTAAAATATCAATATTTTTTTGAGTAATTTAATTTAGAACTTAATACCTAACTTTTTTCAAAATTTTATTTTTAGATTCTGAGTGAAACGATGAATGTATTGATTTTACAATGATGTGTGTTTTTTTTTTATTTTTATTGTGTCTGTCATCACGTTTTAGGACAGTAAAAGTGCTTAGATATTCTTCAAGAGTATCTTTTCTGATAGGAAAGTGAATCTAGTTGGTACTTTGGGGGGGGGGGGGTCAAAAGTAAAAATTGCTCAGTAGTTTTCACAAGCGCCGGGAAAAACAACATAAAAATTAAGGAAAACCGGGAATATTTACGCAAAATCAGTTTTCCAAAATTCGATTTTGGTTTTTGGTGTAAACTCTAAAGCAAATGAACTTATATACATGACATTTTCACTGGTTGTTTATATTTGCATTTTCTATACACGATAACATTTTAAAAATATTTTGATTTATTTTGAACTGTTTAGGGACATTTTCATTTTCCATTTTTTTTAAAATTTTTTTTCTAAAAATATCAATAAAATTTTATTTGTTGGTTGCGAAAGCATGACAATTTAATAGAAGGCTCCTAGTATATTGTTTCAAAGGCAGATGAAAAATATTAAAAATCCTTAGTCACAATCTTTTTTTATAAGTATTTAAAGTTCAAAAATTGACAAAATATGGAAAAATCACGAAAATTAGCAAATTATTTTGAGTTAAGAATTCGTAAAAATTTTTCTTTTTAAATCTAAGGTTTTAAAATGTAATACAAGATTTCTTATAAGATTATCTACCTAAAAAAAAAAGGTCTATAAGAAAATCAAATTAAATTTTTATGAGCGTTTGAAATTCAAATTTTTACAACATTGGATATTCACTCGATTTCTCATATAGCGACTTCCTTATTTTGTTGTAATTCAAAAACGAATAACTGTAGATACATGAAAATTTCACTGAATGTTCATATTAGCATTTCCTATACTCTGTACAATTTTGAAAATATTTTGACTCTTTTTGAGCTGTTTACGGACATTTTCAGTTTTCAATTTTTTTAGTTTTTTTTTCTATGAATATCAATAAAGTTTTATCTGTTGAGCCAAAAAGTGTAAAAATTTAATACAAAACTCCTGATATATTGTTACAGTAGCAATTGAAAAATATTAAAAATACATAGGCACAATTTTTTTTATAAGCATTTAAACATCGAATTTTGACAAAATTTATCAAAATCTCGAAAATTATCAATCATTGTAATTAATAAATTATAAAATGTTCAGTTTTTATAGCTAAGTATTGCAAAATTTAAAACAAAGGTTCTCATAAATAGTTCATACTGTAGCCAAAAAATCTAAAAAATATATGAACAAAGTTATTTTTTACAGACATTTTAAATTCAAATTTGGACGAAATTACATATTAAAAAACCTAGAATAACTATTTTAGTTACCTATTTTGTTGTGATTGAATAATATTATTCGTGGGTACTTGAAACTTCTAAAGTGTACTATTATATATCTATGATAGTATCACGGTTTTTGTTGATGTAAAACGCGTTATAAGTAGGTACCTAATGGATATTGTGGTATGATTAATTTGGAATTTATTATAGGTACCTATTATAGGTCAAGTTTTTGTTTAATACCATAGATATAATATGTCTTATACCTAGACTGACATACCGTCTCCGCTCGGAATCGTTTTTCTTATACAATGATAATATAATATCGTTGAATTCAAATTTAATATCATCCATTATAGGTACAGTGACCCACTTGTAACCTACTGTACAGCAGAGCGACACCCACTTGCCCACCTTTTT